AAGAAGACTTCCTAAATGAAGATAAAGCTTCAACGGGCATCTATCGGCATCAACCGACGTCCGAATCAAGAAAGGAAAGCTTCCCGGGGGTCCCAGAACGCAAAAACTGCTGAAGACAGTTTGAGACAGCCGTCCCAAAGTTGGGACGGCCGTCCCAAACAACCTAGGAGGGTCGAGACGCCCGTCCCAAAGGTGGGACGTCCGTCCCAGTGTGCAAATTTGAATGGGACGGCCGTCCCAAATTCCAGACGGTCGTCCCAACCTTTCGGGACGCTCATCCCTGTTTTCCGGGCCTCGGACGGCCATCCCAACGCGTCAGGCTGCAAAAACTATAAATAGGAGGCTCATTTGCCACTTTTTCACACCCCAGACAACTCAGAGCACTTGTCTTCTCTCTTCTTTCTTCGAATGAACTCTCTGCATCTCATACCAGCACAACGGTGTCCTACATTTTCTACAATACAAAGCTTCATATGGTGCCATTCCAATACTAGAGTGGAAGTCGTAACATCCAGATATTTCCCAAAGATATTTCATTAATATAATAAAATATTTTGTCATTAACTTTAATAAAATGGTATTATGAGTTATTTTAAGACTTGATAATTTTTAAAGATATTAATAAATAATATATATATATATATTATGAAATTTTTAATAGAGTGAAATAGATAAATTTAGAATTGAGTTTAAAATGAAGTAATAATAATAATAAGAGTAATATCATTAAGCAAAATTAGTAATATAATTTCCCATTGATGAAAGGATTTAATTGGTAAGTAAAAAAGTAAGTGAGGGTAATTTTGGAAAGGAGGTTAAATTTAAAGAAGAGAAAGATCAATTTTCTTTCTCACTTACGGAAGCCATTTTGGGAGCACGGGAGGAAGAAGAGAAGTTTGGTTTTGCTTGCCCACACCATCTTGGTTCATCCTTTTTGCAATTAAGAGTAAGATCCATGAAATTAAAGCATTGGATTTCAATATTATCTCCTAAAATCTTCTTAATCTCAAATATATGGTCATTTTGATGCTTACAGGAGACAAACTTTTCTTGAACCAAGGATCTCCATTTTCTTGTTTGAAAGCTTCATTTAAGGTAAGGAGAGTCTTCTTGTCATCAACCCTAGGTTAAATCATCATTTATCTCACTTCTACATTAATTGAAACCAAATTAAAATGTTTTATAAAAAATTTCGTATGGCTATTCTAGTATATTTAGATACTCTACAATGCTCCTTTCATATTTTAGAGTTTAGAAATGGATTCTTTGGATGTTAAAACCTAGAGTTAGCCATAAAAATCACTTAAATTGGATTTTTATAGAGGAAGATGATGAAATATGTGTTGAGAGATGTTATTGGACAAAAATCTGCATGTGAATAGAATCTTTGGGAAATTATGTAAAAATATTTACTTGGTATTTAATTCTGAAATTTTGATTACATGTTCTTTTATATGTCTAGTTTATGTGTGATTTATTTCAAAATTTTCTGACCAGTTGGTTTTCGATGAAAAATCTTGGAAGTAAATATGTTTTGAGTTGGGTGAAACAGAATTGTTATGTTCGCGCAGCAACTTTGAAAAATCCTATAAAATCGAAATTTAAATTTTTTGAGATGAAATTTTTATCATAGTTTTAATTGTAGGTATATGTTAAGTATATTTATTTTCATAATTTTATGACCATTATTTTATTTTATAAAAATATATCTTTGAGTAATGCCCTGATAGTGGAATCTTCAAAACGTATGAAAATGGAGGAAAGTTTTGAATGACTTAGAAATCTTTAAATTTTGAATTATAATTTTTATTATAATCCTAGAATATATGTATTTTGGACTGGAAAATTTTATAGAATTTGGAGTTAGTTTAGATGGCAAAGAATTTTTCCAAAGTTACATTTTTCTAATGCTTATGATAAACTTTTATTCCTAGAGAAGTATAAACAAAACTTTAGTTCTGTACTTATTATTCATTTTATGATTATGTATGATGTGAGAATGATAGTGTAATGAGATATTTTGGGACACAAGATTAAAATAACAAGAGTTTAGAAAATTTGATGGATCGCAATGTGTGCTGAGTCCGAGAGTGTCCGACTCTCGGCAAATTTTTATTGTTCTCGTTTGATGCAGGAAAATGTGTTGTATAAATTTGATTTGAATGTATTTGTAAATTGGGAAATGTCCAAATTACAAAGGAGACTCTGTCAAATTTTTGAAATTGATGAAAAATAAATAAAGCTTAATAAGAATGGTATAAAGAAACGTTATGAATAGTTAATGCATTCATAATCATGGTAGTTAGTGGAAATCATGTCTATAGGATGTTTGTGCTATGTGCTGAGTCTAAGTCAGAGATGTTGGTCATCTAAAAGTAGGATATTATGTCTATAGTGATATGGTCTATATGTTGTAGAGTTTGTTCCTACCAAATATATTGTTGTTAAAGAGTTGGTAGTGTTACTCAGTGACGAGATATGTGTGTGGATGATACGGAGATACACCGGGGGCTTAGGAGATAAGAGAAGATCAGAGTGATATTAGGGAAATATAGAGTGCATTGTTTGGCCACGCTCTTTACTCCCGACTTGCCTCTTTGACTTTGCCTTTTTGCCAAGGGATCGTTATGCATAAGCATTGTATCTGTGATGCGTAGATCAACCGGCATCTATCTATACTTCTGTGAGTCATTTATGCTCGTGTGTAATTTTGTTATGATTGTGAGAGTTGTCTGTACTTATGTGTGACCCTTTCATGGATTGAAAGATGGGATTGATAATGTATCCTAGGTGCATGAGCATTTCAAATGTGGCAAAAATGAACGAATGAAACACAAACATGTATTGTATGTTTTTAGTTTGAGTAATGTGATTTGTGGAAATTGTTTGAAATTTCTGTGTGGGATACTTTATTGTAAAAATGAAATGTTTGACTATAAATGTTACATATGGTTTTAGATTGTGGAAGTTGGAAAAATTTTCGGTTTAGTGTTCTGGAGTGATGAGAAAAGAAAACTCATCCTTACTGTTATATTTCAGGTAATGATGAAACAATTGTGGTGGAGGAACCACAATTTGATTGAGTATCATATACATATGCATGGAAGAATACTGTCTTCCGAGAGGGGCATGATCTTGTGTAAGAAAGTTAGGAATTTTGGGTACCTGCTCTGATTAGGATTTGTTTTATTTTGAGATGTATAAATTTAAAATTAAGTTCTAATCGTTTAAGGGTACAAACTTTATGTAATTATAGTATGATCCTTGTTGGATTAGTTATTTTGAAAAACAATGTATTATGATTATGAATGTTATGTATGAATGTTATGTATGAACATGTTCGACACCTTAATTATATATATTTATTCACGCATGACCATTTTTAAAGTTCATTGTCATAAAGACATAATATTGAAAAAAAAAATTATTCCCATTTTTGAGAAATTAAATAAAGTAGAAGAAAAAATAAATGACGTTACACCTCCCGTGTGTTCGACTTTGCCGTCGTCGCAGGTCCTCATTTCCTCGTCATCGGAAACAACTCGCTCCATCAATGTCGTCGTCGGAACACAACTTGCTCCCTCGATGTTGTCGTCGCAAACCCTAAATAGAACTAACCTCCTCCTTCATACAAACAATCTCACACATGACGGCGATTAAAACCTAAACCCCCACTGTCATCACAAATGGAACTCCCACCTCCCATGTCGTTGCAGATCCTCTCACTTTTCCTTACCCATTTGCACAAACTCTTAACTGTTCAAACCTTAAACACATCCGCGACCCTATTCCTTTCTTCCTGCAATTTTAATGTGACGTGACAAATCTATTACGTAACTATAACCAATCACCTAACCACATCAAAACTTAATTTTAGGAATTATTTATTTCGCTATTTTTTTTAAAGAACCCCCAAAAGTTCCAACGAAAAATGTTAAATAATTTTTTATTATCTTAATTCTTTTTTATTAGCTTAATTGAAGTAATGAATCCCAATATGAAGGGTTCATTATTTCAACTAGTCCTCATGTTCTTCAAATGGATCTCTTAGTTGTTAGGGTTGCCCAAATGCAATATATAAGGCATACTCATTAAAATTTACAAGTAAACTAGATATAGAGATGACAATTAACATAGTTGTTTCCATTTTTCTAATCATAAAGTTTCCATATCACAATAAATCTATAGGATAAAATCCTTATATTTACGGTCAAATGATATAAAAAGTCAATAGATCTAAATAAATAAAAAATAATATTTATGACTACCCAACAATTGAGAATATAATATAACAAAGTGAAAACATATATACAGTAGTCTAAACTTAATATCAATTTTAATATTCTTGTCTACATTAAAAATTTTAAAAATTTTCGAACCACATTAAAATATTTTAATAAATAAAGGGATTATATTACATATTTAACGTATAAAAAATCGGACACACAAGTATTCCAATGGTATTTTAAATATGGAAAGTTATCAAAATAAGAAAATATAATAAATAAAAAAAAGGTTTCCCTGATTATATGAGAATATAATTTGACTTATGCATCTCAAGATAAAAAGATATACAATTTTTTTCTTTTGGAAGTAAAATAATTCAATTTATTTACTTTTTTTTACCTTCAAAGAAAGGTAGAATAAAAATGATCAGTTTCATATTTCAGGTGCAAAAAGATAAGAAATGCCTCTCTGACATATTCATATTTACCTTGAAAATATCTGAGCATTATACCCCAGAATCGGGCAAGCCCATGTGCGAGTAAATCGGGTCGGGTCAATTCGAGGAAATCTAACCGTCCATCATGCTTTGCATCTATCCCATCAATCTTCTCTTCTCTTTGGCCGCTTCCTTCTGATTCCGCAACCGTCCTTCGAATTCCGGCCACCGGAGTTCTCTCTCGGTTTACCGACCGGCCGGTTATTCTTCAGTTTCGTTTTCGTTTCGATATCTGTTGAATCTCCTTTCTGCACCGTCATTGCGTGTCCTTGACACCATGACTTTTTCCGAGGACGAGGACGAGACTCTCGCTCAATTTCTGGAATCAGAGGTTCTGTCAGAGGTCTCGGACAAGGTATTGCATATATTTATATTCACAATTTTTTTTTCGTGTGTTGGACGGTAGATTAGGGTTTTGATTTGGGGGTTCGGAGAGAAAAATTTTGCTCTGTAATGGTTTTACTGGAAATTGTGTTGTGGTGGGTTTAATTTGAGTAAATATTATTGTAGGAAGAGGAAACTGGGGAGGAACCCAAAGCAAAGAGAAAGCGCGCAGAGGAGGAGGATGATGAGAGTACTAAAGAAAAACAAAGCTCTGAGTCATCGCCTGTACAGACGAACATTGTTGTCAGTAATACAGTGGTGCCGAGAAGGATCGAGACTGGTTGTTTCAGCAAAGTTCCACCCGAGCTTTTCCATAATATTCTTAAATTTCTGTCTTCTGAGGTACCTCCTAGCACTGTTTTTCTTTTTCTTTGTGTGTGTGGAAATGTATTTTTTAAAATTGTTTTTGATAGAGAAATCTCTGTAATTGTGTCACTCAATGTACATGGATTTTATTTTCTTGTCCTCCTTGGTATACGAATTAGCTGACTTGTTTTTGTATGGGTGCAGGACCTTGTTTCCTGTTCCTTAGTCTGTAGGTTTCTAAGCTGTGCTGCATCAGATGAGGCTTTGTGGCGTCGCCTGTAAGTACATACTGTTTCCTACTCAAAGTTCCATCTTTTCAAGTGTTTTGAGATATGATATTTGATAAAGATAGCTTAAGATTAGGTTACGTGGACTGGTTTCGATTGTGTATCGTTTTGATTTGGGAGTTGATCACTGCCAATTAGCTAGTATTGATGTTCTACTTGACTCAGGAGTGCAGTCCCATATCTGCTGGGTATGAGAGACGTAACTCTCCTGTTTGAAGTGGAGGTGCCCCTATTTATCAGCTTGGCTTTGAGGAGTTGGTTCTCCTCTTTTGAAGTTATTGTTATTTATGTTTCCTTGTATGTATCATTAAAATACGTGAACCTTATTTATGCCTATTGTCATGGTAAAAAAAAAATCAGGTACTGTATGCGGTGGGGCCTTCTTCCCCCTACTCGGAAGTTAAGGGAATGCCCATGGAAAAAGTTATACATTCAGGTGATTCACAATTTATATTTTTGTTATCTTTAGTAGTATTTCATTATTCTTTCTTGTGCATGCATTCATTTATTGGTGCTTTTTGGTTGAGCATTTTCTATTGCATAAATTGAAATATACGTAACTCGTGTTGAAGACTGTATTTCAATCTTTTAATTCTCTTGGAAACTTGGATGGAGTTAATCTACCTTGCTTTGTGAATATTTGGTATCTCACTACTTTTGCTATTATTATGCAGCGGGATGGAGAGGACATGGTTGAACTTGTTAGGAACTGCCAAAATGAGTTTAAGGAGTACTACATTCAAATGCAAGCAGCTAAGCGAAGTCAAGCTCCTCTTCCTTCACAGGTATTGATGGAAACTATTATAATATAGAACTTTATACTGATACATTGGGATCCTTTCAGCTATCTGAAGGGTTGTAGCTGAAGTTTATACACACATGCTTATTTGCTTTATGCTCCAGTGTCTATCTTAATTGAGATTTCATAATGTTATGCTAATGTCGTTTTGCAAAATTATTTTGCATCTTTAATAGGGGGATCTCTTACTTATTTATACGTCTATAAGATAGATGCTTCATAACCTCTATTTGTCCCCCTTTTTTCTTCATATGAAGTTGAAGGACGATAGGATAATTCTTGACAAAACATTGGCTGATCAAGTGGAATCATGGAAAAGCAGCAGGGGCCTAAGTGATGCAGTGGTGGCTGATCATACTTGTTCTGGGGAAACATGCTCTTACTACCAAATTGGAGATGTATTTATTTGTGAGAATACTGGACAAGTTCATGGTGGGAACATTATCTATGCCAGTGCTTCTATGTGCTTTAATTTTTATTTTTTTCAACATTAAACTTTAAATCCTTTGGTCTGGGCTAGAACTTATTATTTGCGTTTATTTTCTTTTGTAGTTTGTGACGATACATGTAGAGAAGTAATTATGGATCCCACAAACGAGCTTTTGGTCTGTACAATATCAGGGCACTGTTTTGATAGATTATTGTCACCTTCCGAAATGGAGCCTGATGCTGTAAGTCTGAATGTTCTTTACCATGATATTTTGTATTATTTTACTGCAATACATATCCATGCAAATTGATTTTATTAAAGGGGACATTATCTATAATAAATCTATACTGTTAACAAAGTTAAACATATTTATCAAAATTAAGTTAATAGCTACTTTTGTGAAACCTCCTAATGGTTTCTTATTCTTTTGAAATTCCAGGAGCAGCAGCAAGGTGGTGTGACTGATGAGGCAGAACCCTTTATGGGATCTGGCCGTTTTGGTAAAATTGTCTCTTTGGCTTCGTTCCTTTTATTTGGGGCTGTTAAAATCAGACTTGCACATCATTGCATGCATCTCATTATTCTTACGCTTCTTTTCCATTTTAACAGCACGAGCTTATTTGCTGGGATACAATTGTGCTGATGAAAAGGAGCTTGAAGCTACTTTGAGGTTTTGCTGATCCCCACTTTGAGCTCTTCTGTAGTGGATGGTCCTATGTTTCATCATTTACCTTTTTGGTATTTAACATTAAATATGTTGTAGTTTCTATTGGCAGAATAATACTTGCTTAGTCTCTGATTGTAAAACTCTGCTTTTGTCCTGTCCTTTATATTACTAGTTGTGTCCTTTTAATGTATGTGTACATGACCTTCAGAAGAGAAAATTTTATTTTCTCTCGTTACTGCAATTGTTGGTTCTTTATGTTCCAAAATAATTAGTGACATTTTAAATTGTTATTTTCCAAAATTGTTGCTAAAATTAATTGCGTTTCATCCCTACATAATTGTACATGGATGATTTTGGTGCCTATTGTTTTATTTGCTACTTGTACTTTAAACTAGTAAAATCTTATTCAATCATTAATGGTCCATCTAATCTATTTTTATAAATTATAACATACAAAAATGGAAATGTTTGTTCTCTTAGTTATTCTTAGCTAGACATTCTTGATGCTTTTATCTGTATCTTTTATTTTTATATCTAAAATTGAAAGAAAATTGTCAATAGTTATAACTAATTTTGTATTACAATTTAAAATGTAAATTATATATATATATATATATATATTAATTTAATATGATGTGATTATCTATTTTTGTTTTTATTTTTGTGTTGATGTATCAATTTTTAAGATGAAATTTATATCTTATTTATATAATATAATTTAATTATATTTTTATTTAAGAAAATTGACTTCTGAGAAAATATATTTATATACTGTAATTTAATATATTTTTAATTAAGATTCTTAGAAAATATATTGTAGAATTTAGTACAACATTAATTAAATTAAATGTATTAGTAATTAGAGGCATATATAGCACTAGACCATGCATTTGAGAATGAATTTATTTATTCTCCTTCTCAGTCAGGGTGTCTTTTTAGGGTTATTGACTTTTTTTGGGACTTCTTTGATACCTTTTTCAGACTCTTCGTAAACACAACACATGCATACCAAAAGCTGTCGTGTAAGAAAACAATATACTTGTTCTCTACTTGCTAGGAGACATGTCTAGTCTTTTTAAGTATAAATTTATTACTTTTATTTGTTTAAAATCAAAACATCAGAATGCTATAAAACGTTTTTTTTTTACCAAACAATTATTATTGAGTTAGAGCATATATGAGAATAATTTAAATTGTAATAATTAGCATACATTACATACTTCATCCCATTATTGAATTAAAATTACATTTAAGTTTTTCTTTCATTTAAAAACAAATATAATTATTTGGATAAAATCATACCTCCATCTCCACACTTTCTCATAAAATTCACTTAAAAATTACTTATATTGTACCTCTTTTAGTTTTTCCTTTAATTATTTCCTCTTGATTTTAATTTATATTCAAATGAAGTGAAAAAGGCTTCTACATTATCTTAGGTGTTAAAGTACACTATCTATTAATTGTTGATAAAAATGTTATTCATTTGAAAATTATAAAAATATGATTTCAGCAATTGAAAAGTTAAAAAACTAAAATACTTATTTCTCAAATAAATAAATAAATAAATAAAAACTAAAAACATGACCACTAATTAAAAAGAAAACACTTATTTCTCAATTTAAAACTAATTTAAACATGCATTTTTTGATCAATAATCCTATGTATTCCCAATGAGATGGTTAACTAATAATATGTCCTATTCTAGTTACTGCAATGACAATTAAAATACTAGTAACATAATAAAATAGGGAATAATAAAACTTAAACTAGATAAATGTTGTGAGCCCCTCATATTTATATAAATGAATCAGATTCTTTTTTTTTTTTATCTTTTTTTAGAATAGAATCGGATACACTAAATCAAACAAATTTGGTGTATACAAAATGTTTATTACACCTTATTTTATTTATTTTCCAACGGTGGTGATGAAATTAGAATCTAAAACTTGGCTATAAACTAAACTAGTGGTTGAGTACAACACAACATCTTTAAAATAAAAAACCTTCTTTCAGTAGCCTCTGAATTAGAATTGTACTGAGACATGTTCAATTAGTAAGATAGTCTGAATATTATTGTTTTGGACAGATATTTAACTAAAGAATTTAACTCAATTTATTAAAATATAGTTAGATTGAAATTTAATTCACTTTACACCCTTTTTTATTATCTATTTAAATAAATAAAAAATAGTATCTTTAATCATCATCCAACCAATGTTTTGTAAATTAATATAGTTTGCAAACTTTTGAAAGAAAACTTGAAAACATGTTATGTTTACATATATAATTAGTAATTTATAATACTCCCAATTTGTTTTGTGTATTACACTTAAACGGGAAACTTAGTACTAAGTATCGAAAAAAGTGGGAATTTCCACGTGTCACTCTATGGGGCTCAATTACATGCTTAAGCGCGTCGCTGCCGCGTAACGCTAACTCCTTTTCTTTCATCCAAGCTTTTCTTCTCCATCAATAAAGCACAGTCTTTCCTTCTTTCTCTTCACAATAAATCCCTATTTTTCTCCCTCTTTCTCCCTTTCCAAATTTTCAATTTCTTCCTCGCCTTTCTGAAAAATCTAAACCTGTGAGTTCTTTATTTCTCTCTATCTTTTCCCAATTATTAGTAACTGTTTACAAGCACCAATTATTTATTCAATTGTGTTTTCTATCTACCTTCTTCATCTGCCTACCAACCCCCTTTTTTTTATGTCAAATCTTTTGTATTTGTATATTTCTTTTAACTCATGGCTGCTGGTTCAATGTTGTTGTATCATAGTCGATAATCTAATGATGTTCAGGTTAGATGTCATGTTAGATGTCATTTTATGATGGTTTCTCCTAAAATACTGCTTCTTTTTATATTCATGTGTTCGCAATTTTTTAATCAATAATGAAAATTAAAGTTCTGATTTTGCATGCAAGATCTGTGCACGGGGTTGTAATGTTTATTTCTTGGATCGAGAATCCCCATTTGACTTACTTCGTAAAGCTGTGTATGACGTATGTGTGTTTTCTTTATGGCTTTGTAATCGATGTGTTACTCTTCGAATTTACAGATTCCTGATAGTTAATCATCAGCTTTTTCCCTTGAAAGATGGGAGGTGGTAAGGACAAGTACGATGAAGAAGACAAAGGATTGTTCTCACATTTGGCTCATGGGTTAGGTCAATCTGCTCATGGGTATCCTCCTGGGGCTTACCCTCCTCCTCCAGGGGCATACCCTCCTCAACAAGGTTACCCATCTGGTCATGGCTACCCTCCACACGGTGGTTATCCTCCAGCGGGTTATCCCCCTTCTGGTTATCCCCCAGCTGGGGGTTACCCTCCTGCTTCGGGTTACCCTCCTGCTGGTTACCCTCCACATGGTTATCCTGCGCCATCTGCTCCATCTGCACCACATGGTATGATTCCTTCATTTTTATATATCATTATTTAATCTTTTAATCAACAAATGATTGCAACTCGATTGTATTACTCTTGAAGCTACTTGGGGCTCATGGTTTAAACTGATCTCATTGACATACTGGTGTTTTTAAACCAATATATACTGTATCATTACATCACAAATTCCATACAACATAAAGATTGTTTGGCTAATAAACAATTCATAAGTCAGATATGTAGTTAGGTATGTGGTAACTGGATTGTTAATTCTTTATGGCCTATGACCACATTGTTACCCTCAACCGTTAATAATACTGTCTACAATAATGTATTCATAATTTCATTTATATGTATTATTGCGGCCCTCTAATATGTTTGAAATTCGCTATCTGTTTGATTGTATTTTATGTAAACTCATTTAAGTTATGCATGGCCTATTTAAAGTTATTCCTGTTGTCTGTGTATTTTTTAATAATATACTTGAAAAGGAGCTAACTTTGCTGCTTCGTCGTTAGGATCTCATGGGTCTGGGCACGGCGGTATGGGGGCAATGCTTGCCGGTGGTGCTGCGGCAGCAGCAGTAGCCTACGGGGCTCACCATATTTCCCATGGTCACCATGGTGGACATGGTGGATATGGTGCATATGGTGGATATGGACACATGCCCCATGGGAAATTCAAAAACCATGGCAAGTTCAAGCATGGAAAGTTCGGAAAGCATGGGAAATTTAAACACGGGAAGTTTGGCAAGGGTATGTTCAAGAAGTGGAAATGATGATAGTTTGTATATATGCAAACCTCGATTCTAGATGCTGCTACGGATTTGCTTTTATAAATAAACTCTACTATGTTTGATGTCCATCTATATTTTGGTGGAACTCTAGCGTTTTTATTTTTTGTCTTAGACAAAGATGTATCCCGTTCATATTCTTCAAATGGAACGGCAAATAGATGCCCTGGTATTATGTGCAAGCTTGCGGTTGCTTTAACAAAGGTTTGATTATTTTGTTCTGTTGTGTATACCATTTTAGTTTTGGCATGGGTTGATTTTATTGGAATGAAATGGATTCATCATACATCTTGTATGTCTAGTGTACTGGTGTAAATAGTTCACTGTTGGTTCACATGTAACATAATATTCTGATGAATGCCGCTGAATGACAAAGTCTAAAGGGTTGTCTGGATAGGATCTATTCATCACCATTTCCTCCCTTTTTTTTTGGCTTGGGTTAAGAAGATTACGAAACGTGGTAATCTGAAATATATTTTGGAATAAAATAATTTGAAATATACATTTTTTTAATCGTTTTAAATAAAACAATCTGAAATATGTATTTTTAATTTATTTTGGATTAAGTAATTTCAAATATACTATCTTTTTTAAATTCAAATTATTTAATCACGAATATATAATTTTTTTAAGATTAATTATATTTTTTTATTGTGACATGAAACAATTTCGGTTGGGTTGGAACTAGTATTGTATAATGATAGATCCATATATACTTGTTATTCAGCTTCATCAAAATCTTCTTCAAAGCCAAATTTTTACTTATTTTTCTCAATCTTAAACTAAAATATTTTTACCTTGACATAGTGTAACATAATATCAGCTCAATTTAGGATAGAATAATTTCGCTTTTACCTTGAGTAAGGTATATTCACTCAACCTTCGTTACATTATTTTCACTTTAGTCTGTATTAAAAAAACTATCATCTTGACTTGATGTCGGTAAGAGTAAGTTCGCCACGTTGAAAATACTTTTGATTTATTTGTATTCTGTTTTAAATTTTAATTAAATAATTCGGGATTATATTATAAATGAAAATAAAATAAGTGATTTGTTAATAGAATATGTTGAATAATGATTATATTTTTCAATGTTTAGAGTTTAAAGGTTTAATTAAGATTCAATTGGAATTAAATAGGTTTTAATAAAATAATAATTTTATCATATAATAAATTTATTAGAACAATATTTTTTATAAAAAAATAGTAAAAATTACTGTTATTATTATTATAAATTAAAATTATAAATATAAAATATATCAGAAAATATAAAATAGATAATTATTAAAATAAGATAAAAATATAATAAAATAATTAATATTTATTAAAAAAATTAAAATATATTATATCTTTAATAAAAAAAATTATATAACAAAAATTGATTTTAAATATATTTTTTTCTTAAAATTGGTTCAATAAAAAAAATTCAATCGATTTTTTTATTTTACTAATTTTATTCCAATTTTTAAATTTTATTTTGGTTCAATTAAAATTTAATTATTTATAAGTAATAAATTAATTTCTAATTCGATTTCTGATTGATCAGGTCAATCTGATCCAAATTTCAAAACAGATATTTTTCATCTAAATTTATCTAAATATTTTTCTTATAATTGATATTAGACTAAGCTTAATATAAATCGATAATTGTAATAATAAAAGAAAGATTCATTTTTCAAGAAGAAGAGTTAAAGGCAACTTTTTTTTATAATTTACTTTTTTTATATAATCATTAAAATAATAATTCAAATTTAAAAAATTGAATAATAAAAATTATTCTTTTAATAATAAATAAAATATATTTTCTCCATTTTTATTATTACAATATACAACACAAAAAGTGAATTTATCCTTTTTTTTCATTTCTATTTTTATTGATACTAATCACTATAATATAACAACATTATTAAAATATAAATTAATGTAATGAATGCTAATATAACAACATTATTAAAATATAAATTTATGTTATGAATTTTAAGACGTTTAATTGAATTAAAAAAAGAGTGCAAATAAATTATTCGTAGTATCGAATTGACTCTTAAATAATAGGATACTCATATTCTGAATTATATATATTATACCATACGTAATTAACCTCTAATATGACATTATTCTTAAATAACGTATTACAAATTTACAAGTTATGTTTCAGGTTAATTTTTATAAATATTAATATTTTTACATTTGCATTTACATTTTATCTTTTAATAAATTAAAAATTATTTAATCATAAAAATAAATATTATTTTAATATAATTTTTTAATTAGAAAACTTATATATTTATTTTAATTCTTAGAAAAATATTATCTAAAGAAAATACACAAGAGAAGTAACATAAATTAAAAATAAAAACTATAAATTATCTATAACAATAAATATATACTAATTTTTTATTATTTTCAGTTAAAAACGTGTGACTAAATCATTTAACTTATTTAAGTTAAAATAAGAAAAACAAAATGTGTGAAATAGAATATTTAAACAAAAAATTTAATGTGAGAGAGTTTTTTTTGTTAAGCAATAATCCTTACACAAGGAACATTTTGAAAACTTAATCACTTATATTTTTAATTTTTTATGTGAAAAAATCATATTTATTATTTACTTTAATAATTGAAAGATTCAATCTATGGTTAAAAATCATATCCATTATTTATTAAATACTACTTAATATTTATGTAATTTTTTTATAATTACGAAATGAATAATTATTTAAATTCACCATTATAATACTTTTCCCGTGTTTTGTTCTCACTCTTATATTTTTTTTTCAAGTGCTAGCGAATTTGTAAGATAGATCCTGGTAAAATTTGTAATAACTATTTAATTACTTAATCAGCAAGCCTTGTCATCTGAAAGCCTAGTATAAGATCCGTGTAAAACCGATCCAAAATTAAAACCGACCCATCGACCCGATTTCAGTTGCAGGGTGAAGCAAGTAACCCTAATGCTATATGCTTTTCTGAACGTTCTTACCACACGCCTTTCCCATAACTCTTCCTTCACACCGCTTTCCTCTTTTTCTTACAAAAGGAAAAGCGAATCTCACTCTCTTAACTCTTGCAACCGCCATGGCCGATCGCTTGACCCGTATTGCCATCGTCAGCAACGACAGGTGCAAGCCTAAGAAGTGCCGCCAGGAGTGCAAGAAGAGTTGTCCCGTTGTCAGAACCGGTAAGATCTGATTCTTCCCCGTTTCGACCCCAAACCCTAATTTTCCTCACTCTCTGAATTCTGATGGGGTTTATGGGAACTCGCTGTCGCCACAGGTAGATTGTGTATTGAGGTTACTTCTGCTTCGAAGATTGCTTACATATCTGAGGAATTGTGCATTGGATGCGGTATTTGTGTTAAGGTATTGTTGGAGATGGTGGTACTGTGTTTTCAGATGACATTTTTTTTTATGTGATGAGATTGCTGTTTGTTTGTGTAGAAATGTCCTTTTGAAGCTATTCAAATTATCAACTTGCCGAAGGACTTGGACAAGGATACTACGCATAGATATGGTCCCAATACTTTTAAGTTGCATAGGTGAGTTTACTGAGTTCTTTAGTAGTAGAAATTTGAGGCTGTGGGTTTTGTTTAGTTTGTGATGGACTGTGTTGTTGAGGCAGGTTGCCGGTGCCAAGGCCCGGACAGGTGCTTGGGTTGGTTGGGACGAATGGGATTGGGAAGTCCACTGCCCTTAAGGTTTTGGCTGGGAAGTTGAAGCCGAACTTGGGTCGATTCACCGTAATAGCCAGAATTTGCCTTCTTTACTGCTTGATTGTTTGAGGTTTTGTGTTGCTTTTGTTTGATTTTTGTTTTGGTTGCAGAACCCCCCTGATTGGCAGGAAATTTTAACCTACTTTCGAGGATCTGAATTGCAGAATTACTTTACTCGGATTCTAGAGGATGATTTGAAGGTGATGTCCGCCTCCGCCTTGTTTGATATGTATGCATACGTTGGTGTCTTAATGATTCAGACTCTGGCAGTCTTAAGCTGGCTAGACAATTTTCTCATTTATACCCGTGTGGTTTTCTGATTTGGATTTTTTTTTTTCTTTATACTATTCTTTTTACTGGACCAATTGCCAATTATTTGATGTTAGAGTATATGGAACTAGTCTGTTATAATTGGTTTGAAAGAGAAGGGAAGCATTTATATTTAACAAAAAAGAACATCATATACATACAAAAAGTGCACAAAAAATCTGCAGGTCTTACTATAAAATAGAAATTATGAACATATATATAAACTACAATCATATAAAATTAATATATAGGTATCGAAATTCTCAAGCTTGAGGTGTAAGATTATAAATCATATAATATTTCTTAAGTTCAATAGAAATTTGGAAACAATCAAGTTCAAGTGACAACTGAATGCTTGAGTACAAGTTGATTACTAGCAGCTCTGATTAATAAAATTTGTTGCTTCTGTAATCTGTATCATTATTGACTGATATGATATAGTTATTGCTCTAGTTAGAATATTTTAAATGGTAATTCACTAAAGTACCACAAATGAGGCTGTATCATACATTGATTGATACATTAAACTACCATATTTACCTAAGTAAACTGTCTCAACATATCACAAAATTCATATCTTAAGGTTGAGAGCACTTATATGGGGTGGTTTATCAAATATGACTAATTGATAGGAATATGGGCCAATTGTTAATCAAAGTTAATGTGACCAGACATTACTGGTTTAGGTAGATTTACGTTAGTTTTTATATATGGCTAATTGATAGGGATATGGGCCAATTTTTAATCCAGGTTAATGTGACTAGATATTGACTAGTATGTAGTTGGAGGAAAAGGTGAAACATGGAGGGTGGAATAGTTAATAATAGAATGTGATTAAATGAGTCAATTATTGGGAGACTAGAGAGAGAAGGTTGCAGGAAGCAACAAGGAATGGATTAAGCCACTATGGCTGGGGGTCTCAGTATAATTTCCTTGTTTTAATTTCCATACATTGTTCAGAAATTCATTCATTGTTACTATTCTTTGAGAATTCACTTCCTGAAATTAAAGTATTTCCTGGAATGGGATAATGTGTGTTTGTGTTGTCTGAATTTAACTCATCATCTAACTATTATTATGGTTATACAAAATTTGAAGCCTTGTAATATATAAACATATGTGCTTGAACTGAAGGCATTGCTATTCTTAGGTAGTTATCCTACATAAATTTTAACCTTTCTTTCTTTAAATTCTGTTTTATTGTTGTTGATAGGCTAGCTTTTGCGGTGCATATATTTCTCTGAATATTCAATCATCAACATGAAGTTAAATTTGTTTTTCCTGATCAGATTAAAATAGTATTCTGATTAAGAAAGTTCTTTCTAGTAATTATACTTAGTTTAATATATATGTATATGATATAAATAGTATCACCAATCTTGTTATGTTGACCATATTACACCGCTATACTTATTTTAATATTTGTATATGCTTTATGTAGGCTATCATCAAGCCTCAGTATGTTGACCATATTCCAAAAGCTGTGCAAGGAAATGTGGGGCAGGTGCTAGACCAGAAAGATGAGAGAGATATGAAGAAGGAGCTTTGTGCTGATCTTGAGCTTAATCAAGTTATAGATCGTAATGTTGGTGATCTTTCAGGTGGTGAGCTCCAAAGGTTTGCCATTGCAGTTGTTGCAATCCAGAATGCTGAGATATACATGTTTGATGAACCGTCTAGTTATCTTGATGTAAAACAGAGGTTGAAAGCTGCACAAGTTATTCGATCATTGCTTAGGCCTAATAGGTTTTTGCCCTTTTCTCTCAATTGTATTTGCTTAAAAAGATTGTCTGTATCAGACGTTCTTGGCGAAATATTGAATCTGTTTGCTTTTCTCTTTTTCCAGCTATGTAATTGTTGTAGAGCACGATCTCAGTGTCTTGGACTACTTATCAGACTTTATTTGCTGTCTATATGGCAAACCTGGTGCATATGGAGTGGTGACACTCCCATTCTCGGTCAGAGAAGGAATTAACATTTTTTTGGCTGGCTTTGTTCCAACAGAAAATCTTAGATTTCGGGATGACTCGCTTACTTTCAAGGTATATCATGCTTTATGCATCTCCCTTCGCATTTGCTGATTCTCAAGCCGTTCTGGTGATGAAAATGAGAAGATTCAGTGCTGAAAATCAGCATGCCAAAAATAAAATTGAGTGAAGAACTGAAAATATTCTGTATGTGGAGTTCACTGACTATATTCAGCAGTGATTATTAGATTCTCATACTTTCTGCACCTTAGGAAAGCTATTTTAAACATTATAAAGCCGTGCTTATTTTTCATTACAGTAGATTTTAGTATTGAATTTTTTAATCCAATGTTTTCAATTTTATCAAACACACCCTGCTGCTTGCTGTGTATAGGTTGCTGAGACTCCACAGGAAAGTGCTGAGGAAGCTCAGACATATGCTCGATATAAATACCCAACCATGACCAAAACTCAAGGCAATTTTAAACTTCGTGTAGTTGAAGGAGAATTTACTGATTCTCAGATTATTGTGATGCTGGGTGAGAATGGGACAGGAAAGACAACATTTATTCGAATGCTGGTATTCTTTTTGTCATACTTGTTTCTTAATGGAACTGAATAATTCTTCAACATATCTATTCACCTTGCTCTGGTATTATTCAGGCTGGTTTGTTGAAACCTGACAGCGTAGAAGGTGGATCTGAAGTCGAGATGCCTGAATTTAATGTTTCATACAAGCCTCAGAAGATAAGCCCGAAGTTCCAATCAACTGTTAGGCACTTGCTACATCAAAAAATACGTGATGCATATACTCATCCCCAGTTTGTTTCAGATGTGATGAAACCACTTCTTATAGAACAGTTAATGGACCAAGAAGTTGTGAATCTTTCTGGAGGAGAGTTGCAGAGAGTTGCTCTGTGTCTCTGTCTTGGAAAGGTATTATAAATTTCATCCAAGAAAACTGTTTGAGATAATTAAGGGCTTGTTTGATCTAGTTTTTTAATTTTTAAAAACAATTTTAGAAATCAATTTTAAAAAACCATTTTTGAAAATAAGTTAAAAAGAAAACTTGTTTGATAACTCTAGTTTGAAAACTGTTTTAGACAAAAAAGGATGACATCTACCTTGACAAAAAGTAGCAATGAAAATTGAAAAACAATTTGGATCACTTCATGGTGATTAAGATAGATGATAAAGTGCTTCTATTAGTTAATGCAAGAATAACATTAATGAAAACAAGAAACAAAAAATAGAAAACATATTTTATTAGTTTTGATTTCTTAGTTTTTAAAAATTAAAAAACAAAAATAGTTTTGGAAAACTTTTAATAAAACCGTTGTAAACAAGTTTTTACTTTTTTAAAACTATGAATAGAAGGGTTTTACAAATCAGAAAATAAACAAGTCCTTATTTGTCTTAATCCTCTGTCATCCCCTATTTCTTTCATCTTTACATTCGTGAATACTTTCTGTTTTCTATAGGATATTTATTTCAAGTGTAGTATCATTCCATGTAATGAAAATGAGTCTGGTGCTACTAATCCATTGCCAAGTTTTTTGAGATTGCTTGGATTTGTTGCATGCCTCCTGTCTCTTAAATCTAGAGAGCAATATCGTTTCCTGATGCCTTCTGTTCTACTTTAGCATCCTGTAGACATCTATCCATGCTAATGCTGTGGCCATACGTTTTGAACTTTATCACTTGGTTTTATGGTGTGCTGTTGGTCTCCCTTAAGATGCATGCATGGCTCTTTTTTTATTTCAAACCAAATAACATTATAAGTTTTCTGATCTGTTGCAATCCTACCATAACAGCCTGCAGACATCTATCTGATAGATGAGCCAAGTGCATATCTAGATTCTGAACAGCGAATTCATGCTGCCAAAGTTATCAAGAGGTTTATTCTTCATGCCAAGAAAACGGCTTTTGTCGTTGAGCACGATTTCATCATGGCAACTTATCTTGCAGACAGAGTTATTGTTTATGCGGGTCAACCATCAATTGATTGTATTGCAAACTCTCCACAATCATTATTGACTGGAATGAACCTTTTCTTATCGGTTAGTTTTAGTACTTTCTATGGTTCCATCACTTTTTCCCTTTTCGGTTCTATTGTGCTCACAATATGTATATTATGTATTCCGTCACTTCTGCAGCATCTTGATATAACATTTAGAAGGGACCCAACTAATTTTCGCCCAAGGATCAACAAACTTGATTCAACAAAGGATAGAGAACAAAAGTCTGCTGGGTCGTATTATTATCTTGATGACTGAGTTCATACTTACAGGCCGGTTCGTCCTTGTGCATTTTTATTCCTCTAAAAATGCTTTTCGTGGCAATTTGAAGCTGACAATATTTTGTGGTGTTGCAGTTGTTCTTTCACCAATGCAACATTGCATCTGTTTGAGCTTTTCATGGGATCTCAGATTTTAGTTAATATTATGGCCTTGAAATGTAAGATTGCCCTTTTTACCGTTGAAGGCATCTTGCTCAATGGATAGAAGAGCCTGCATACATGCTTATGTTGGATGGTGCATTTGTATATTTTACCCTTATATTAGTGCATACTCATCACCAGTTTTGCTTCGACTTGGGTGGGTGAATCTGAATATTACATGAGTTTAATTGGTCATGGTTTTCATTGAATGTCCCAAATACATGGGAACATTCATGACGTCAGACTGGGTTTATCGCCACTTCGGCACATAATTTCAGTTGAGTATGTAACGAAGTTTACATTCATTCCCATGTTACTTGATTTAGATAGATATCTCCTGTTTCGAATATATTACCTTTCAGAGAGTTGTTAATTTGATTGGATATTATGTTCTTTTATTTGAAAGGCTTTTGTATTCATTGCCAATTTCATTAAATAGTTTTAGGCAATGAGCTATGATGACTCTTAAAATAATGTAGATTATTATCGGGTTAATGATTCAATTCTTAGACAATGAAAGTTGTAATAAATTAATGTGAAAAATATATGAGAAGTGTATACTTTTTGAGATTATTTTTAAATCGATTATTGTAAGGTATTGAAACTAAATTTTATGAGCGATCGAAGTTAGTATTTTTGTGTGTATATTTTACCATCTGAAAGACATTCTCTTTTTATGTATCTAAATAACATTTTACTATCCAGATTTTTGAACATGTTTCTGTTTTTTAAACCTTTTTTGACAAATCAGTTGCTTAATAATTGCGTGTTTTTTTATTTTAGTTTTAAATTTTAAAAGCCACTTTTTAATTTATTCTGTAATATTAAAGAATTTTAGAATATCTATGAAGGCAAATTATAATATTTGTGAATAATTTTAAAATTTATTATAAAAAATTGAATAACATTGTAAAATGAAATTGAGGGTGTTGGTTAAAAATGAAAATAGGCAATAATGTTGTTTTAAAAATGATATAATTGCACTAAAATTAAAATAAATAATTCCAAACACTTTAATTAATAAATAAATTATTTACATAGAGATTAGATGTTTCTAAACATAATCAATTATGAGTTCATAATAAGCAATTTTAATTGATTATAAGTAAAAATTTTAGAAGTGTATATAATGACACTGAGAAAATTTTGTTTCATGTGTTTATTATTCCACAAATTACACAAAACTGAAATATGTATTCCTCGAATGCAAACAAAAGAATTAAATTATAAACATGAATGACTATATCTTTACCGTACTTTTGTTTATTTTATGTGTATTTTTTTACTTCTCAATTTGTAGCATATGTCATGCTATTGTAGGATCAAGATTTATAACCGAGCCGAATGGTAGAAACGTAACGGGCTAAGTTGATAAGGTTTTCTGCCGACTCATCCCTCAACATGTTCAGTAAATATATTATTTAGGTAAATAAAATGGAAATGTATAATTGTGAAGAGGGGGATATTTTGACATTATAAAAGTAGGAAACATCAATTCAATAATTTACTTTTGGAATTTTATATTATTATTTATCTATTTTATTTTATTCTCTCAATCAATTAATACAAAAATAATATTTCTAAAAATTGATTGTCAATTTTTTTTCCTTTAAAGAATTGAACTCTTCTTAGGAGTAAATCAAGAGTACTAATAAACAAATGTTAAAAAACAACACCTTTTTATTGGTACATTAAAATCAGAAGAGAATGCATTGTAAAGTTCCTCAATAAAATATTTTATTTTTTATTTTTAAATTCCTTGACCTCGTAGGTATATTTACCAAAGAATTATGCCTAGGTTTGTTCATTAACGTGGTATTTTAATTCTCGTTGCTAGCAGTTGCAATCTGTAACTTGAAGTGAAATAAGTTTCTCTTTTTTATCACAAATTTACATCAATAAGACTATAACCTGCGGTTTTTCTTAAACCCAATTCCTGGATAGATTGTCTCAAGTCGGAAGCATCTTTCCAGCTTCCTGCAGCTACAAACATATTTGACAATGATATGTAATATCCAACATTGTGAGGTTCCATTTGAAAGAGACGTTGAGCAATTAGTTTCCCCAACTTGAGTTCTCCATGATAGTTGCATGCACTTAGGAGAGTTCCCCATACACCTGAGCTGTCACACCCTTTAGCAAACTCGTAAGCCTCATCCAGTCTACCTGACCTGCCAAGCATGTCAACCACATAAACTTGATGCTCAGTCTCGGGTTGTACTCCATATTTCTCCAACATACACTCATAGTACCGAATACCTTGGTTCACAAGTCCTGAATGACTGCATGCAGATAAAAGACTAACAAAAGTGCTTTTGCTCACCCTTTCTCCTGATTCACACATTTCATGGAAGAGTTTGACTGCTTTCTCACCATTTCCATGATATCCATAAGCAGAAATCATTGAATTCCACGTTGATTCTGACTTCTCTTTTGCATGCCTGAATACGTGCAGGGCAGTGTCCAATCGACCACAGTTGCTATAGAAATCTATAAGAGCTGCTGATACGAAAGAATCATCTCGAATGCCAGCCCTGAACACATGGGCGTGGACTTGTTTTCCATGTCTAAGGATACCAATTTGAGTGCAAGCAGAGAGAACACTGACAATGGTGATCTCATTTGGTTCAAACTGAAGATGGCGAAATAGTTCCAATGCTTCTCTACTTTCTCCATTATGAGATAAAGCTGAGATCATGCAATTCCATGAGCAAAGATTGGGAATAGAGCAGAATTTAAACACTACTTTGGCACTGTTGATGTCCCTGCATCTGTCATACATAGTAATTAATGAGTTCTGAACCCGAGTATCTGATCCCAGAGGAGATTTAAGTGAAAGGCCATGGAGAGAATTTCCTAGGCGGGATAGTTCCAGGTTTGCACAGGCAGAAAAGATATTTACAAGGGTTATGGAGTCATAGTTGAAAGGAGGTTCCTGTCTCATCAACTTGAAAGTATCTAGAGCCTCTCTAAAATGGTTGTATCGCACACACCCCACAATTAGTGTGTTCCATGAAGCTATATCTGCTAAAGCAGAATTCTCATGCAAAATTGAAAAACTGGCAGCTAAGTCTCCACAATTGATATACATGTGCATGAGAAAATTTATTAAAAGAATGTGGTTTAAAAATCCAGATTTCAACTGCCAGCAGTGAACTGATTTTCCAAAATAGAGATTATTAACGGAGTTGCATGAAGAAAGTATAGCAAAAACTGTTGATGAGCTGCAATTTGGGCCCCAACGTAGCATCTCTTTGAACAATTTTTGAGCTTCATCAGAATACCTGTTATGGGAATAACCAGATATCATTGCATTCCATGAGACTGAGTCCTTCTCTGTGGTAGATTTGAACAAGAGCTCGGCTTTCTCCACATGGTTGCACTTTGAATACATGTCTATCAGGCTGTTCAGTAATATAACATGACCAGATACCATCATCTGTCTTCGAAATGCAAATCCGTGGATTGTTCTTCCTTCACTGTAGAGCATCAGTTCCGCACAAAGTGGAAGTATAGTAGTTAATGTCACTATATCAGGTTGGAAAGACCCTACTATTTGCATATTAATCAGAAGATCAAATACTTCATTGATCTTTTCATTTGAAGCAAATCCTTTCATCATTGCATTCCAGGAAACAATATCTCTGAGTGCTATGTCTCTGAACACTTTTTCAGCAGCCTTGACGTGTTCACACTGTGAATATAATGAAATGAGAGAGTTGGCAATTGATACATGCGAGCAGTCCTTGTAACCTAGTTTGATTCCTAGCCCGTGAATGGACTGGCCAAAATCCAGCTCCCCCAAACTTGAAGACGCTGAAATGGCACAAGAGAGACTGACATTGTCTGCTGTTTCTTCAGAAAAAGTCATCCTTTTGAAGTAATACAATGCTTTCACTGGATCATCATTGTAAATACTACCTCTCATTATTGAATTCCATGAAATAACATCTTTACTTTCCATCTCTTCATATAGACACTCAGAAGATCTTAGATCACTACATTTCGCATACATGTCAATAAGAGCATTACCTAAACAGATATCCACAAGCATCCCAGATTTTATACTCACACAATGAATTACCCGTCCTTGATCAAAGTTTTTGATGAGTAAAGAAGCTGATACCATAAGCAATAGAGTAGTGGAGTCAAACCCGGTTTTGGCCTTGATCATTTTCTCTAAGAAGTCCATTGCTGCACTATAGCAGTTATTTTCAAGAGATGCTGCAACAATAGCATTCCAAGCAATCACATCTCTATTGGGAATCTCGTCAAACAAACCCTTTGAAGAGGCAAAGTCTCCAGCCTTAGAATAAACAGTGAGTAGAGATGTTGAAGTGGGGAGGTGAGCCAGAGAACCTATCTTTAATGCTGCACAATGAGCAGCAGTGGCATTCACAATTTTGGGTTTTCTGAGGGACAGTTTAATATAATCAACAAGCTGAAAATGAATTTCTCTCACATGTAGAGGTCTTTCAGGCATTTCCTCAAACAACTGAATGACAGTGAAAAATCGATGACAGTAACATGATAACAAGGTGGGAGTATACCGAAGAATGGAGACCCTGGATCGCTTGAGAATGTTGTTCCCAGTTTGGTAGTTATGCAAAGAAATTGGATGGAATGATTGTGATATTCCAAGTCCAACCAAGTATAATTTTTCATTAGCCCATTTTGTTACATGCTTCAACGTCAATCGGAAGACTACCCATATTCTCATTTTCACTTCATTCTTGATTACAGGTACGAAGAATCCCGCTTTGCACTGAAGAACGTGAACTTGAGAGCTTAGCAATTTCGAATGGTATGCATGGCAGTAAATGTAAACAGCTCCTACGTAGTAACTCTTCTATTCATAGAAAGTATTGTAGCAGTGTTTTAACGTTGCAAAACTCTATATTTTGCACTAATGACTTCATTATATTGGTCACATGACACTAGATATAAAACTAGTTTAATTAACAGCGGTTCATAAGTATCTTTTGCTTCAAATACTTGTGTTTTTAACTGTCTAGTTAGCCAATGTATTTATGGAAAATAATGCTGATTGACTTTTGGTTTTTAATAAAATATTTTTCAATAGAGGAGCTTTAGGAACTTTACTCCCAAAAGCTAAAGCAAATTAGTGACCAAGTTAGAAAAGGCAACATATGCTTTCCTGTTTGAATTTAAAAGAGAGTTGTGGTACATTCAGATGTCTCCTGTTTTAATAATTACAAGCAGTTCAATATCAACTGAGACATCAGGGTTCAAAAACTGCAATGTCTTAAACTTGATACGCAGCATGCTCTTCCCATTGTTACACAAGAACCACGTTTTATCATCTCTCTAACTACTAAAATCATCAATTTGGATACAGATTCTGAACTTCTGTGAGTAAACTCATCTTGGTCTTGGCAATGAGTTGGAAACCAAATCACCTTTTAATGAAATCTCTTCCGTGTATCTCTTGTCCAAGGGTTAAAACAAACATAAACCTGAAGTTGAGCTCACCATGGTGGATGATCATCTGCAGAAGTTTGAGGAGGGAGTGGCTTCCATTCAGGTTTCTCATCCCAGTACATATCGTAATAAATGTGGCCAGGAGTGTGATCAAGCACGCAGCACCATATACCCACATACCGTTTAACTCGATTTCTGAATTTGTCTTCCCTTTCCTGGTAAAATATGCATGGCTCAGGACATGATAAATGTGAATTTCTTTGCATTTTTTGTCACAAACACAAAATGTGAAACTTCAAAAGAAATGAGTAAAATAGTCATTGCCTTGTCGCTGAAACCTGTGAAAGCATCTTGCATTGAAGAGAACTGGATGACTTTTACATCCTTGAATGATGAAAATACTTTCATGTACTGCAAATTTAAGAACCAGGATAAACATATTTTATATACAACCCTGAATATTGTGCATGGTCAATTTGTCTTTTTGTCTACACCTCATCCATCTCTCAACCAAAATATATTTATAAATGACCAGAAAATTAAAAAAAAAAAATTATGATTATTTGATAAAGCAAAGGGCTCAATTTTGATGGCATGAGGCTGTGGTAAGGGAGATTACTATCTACATGAAAAGACCCCTCCCATTCTGCAATTTTTAGAACAATGTTCTTCATCTTCCAGTAAAAGAAAAAATGTCCGACAGAAGAGACCAGTCATCTTACATGTTTGGGTAATTGGTGTAGGAGTAGAAAGTTTTCACTTGAAGATATTTTGGAGGAATTACTTTTGAAAGAAGAAGATTGAGTTTTATTTTTGGGTGATTGGCACAGAAGATACCCAAATTACTTTTGGCTGGAAGTACTCACTTCCAGCATAATTTCTTCTGGGACCCAGAATTAGCTTTCAGGTTGGGGTTGGACACCAAAATTACTTCTTGAGATTCGAATTTAATTTTCATACTCCAGAGCAGATACATCATGTAACTAAAATTTCTCCCACCACACTCTAAGTGAGCTTTCCTAACCAGCTCCTTATCCTTAGTCCGCGTTAATGAATACACTCGGTATAACAAAGAAAGATTTGGCACACAACAAATATGCACTCTATAGTAAGTACCGTTTCTTCATTGCTATGCCTTGGAAATTTGAGTACTCCCCCAACGGTGGTATTATTTGATGCAAAACAATCTTGGGCTCCTTCTTTACAGAGCTGAACATCAAGCCATGACTTCTTCACCTGAACTCAAGAACCCCGGCATAAGTTTCTAGAGTAAGATTCAAGAAAGGAAAAATCACAATTTAAAATGGTAATGACATTTAAGTCACCTCTGAGGGGAGGGAGGGATTATCAAGTATCGAGTACTCTCTAATATCTATTCTGGGGCCAAACTCTTCGTTTGGAAGTTCTTTCAACATGAAATTTACCTGCAATAGAGTACATTTCCATAGCAGACCATAAGACAGTGATAGAAAATGTTTTGATTATTTAAAGAGAAGAAAGGCAGAGAGGAAGAAAAGATAGGCAAGAGGTTGCATTGAATGTTGTAAACTAATGTGCACAGGTAAAAAAGGGTTTACATTCTGCATTATTAATCTGCAATGTACCTACATAAAGACTACCTCTAATTCATGAAAACGTGTGAAATCTGAATTAGTGAAAGCAAAAAAAGTTTTAAAACCATAGAAAAAGAATTAATTAATAAAGTAAAGCATAGTATTTCCCTATTGGTTTTATGCATCGAAGGGACAACATGTTTAACCTTAATCAAATGCGTGAAATAATAATACAAGCTTTTCATAAAAAATAAATAATCATGCAGATCATGGGCTAGCAGTGGTGAGCAATAGGGAAATTCTATGCTTGGCGTTTATGTTAATCCAGGGGTAGAACTAATAAATTATTGAAGCAGCCAAACATTAATTGCTTGAATGATTGAGGTTTCTAAGAAAAAAAAATTAAATTCTGATGTATATAGTGATAAAATATAAATTATTACTGATCTAATAAAGCAAAAGAACTTTTGAAATTTCAGCGTACCAACATAGTTTGAGAGGTATATGTCGCCTTTACTCAGTGAAAAATGCATATTAGAGTAATATTTAAGTATCTGACCATTCTATGAAAGCAGGTTTTCAAAGTTAATTGTGATTTTTGAGTGCTTCTGTTAGAAGCATGTTGGCATATGTTTTCCAAACACCAAAAGTTAAATTTTATTTTTATAAATTATTAAATACAAATAATACCATTAAAAATACTTTGTCACAACTTCTATCATTGACTTTTAGATTTTCCCATGTTTGTCTAAAATTTCTTTCATCACTAATTTGATGCCTACAATTATAACAAAAACCTTTTATTTACATAAATATGAACTTAATTTTTACTCTTATGATCCCCTAAGTGATATCCAAAAGTTTCACATTCTATTTGATTGGAGGGACAGGAAGAGGGAAATGGATAAATTTTGATGAAAAAAAACCCTTGTTTGGTTCAGAAGTTTAAAGGAGCATGGAAGAAAAATCTTGGACAAAATCCATTCCCTCGAACTTGTGCATCCCTTCTAATATTATGGGGATTTACTTTCTCTCCCTTCCTTTGAAGCAAGCAATCCGTAAGAAACTGATATTTCATATGATTTTGAGGTTTTTTGAAACCCGCTTTCCCGATACTAAGAATATTATACCTTGGTTTACAATTCTCATTTTTTCACATCTAAAGCAAATACTACAATCATGCCTAGTTCATGTGAATATGTAAAACATCGATTTCAAAAGCTTTCCAGAAGAGGCATCTTCGGATAAACTTTTCCATAAAGACTTCTAGGAGAGAAATCCAAGAAAAAAATGAAACTGGTTTCTCCATGAGTTAAGTATAGCTTATGCATAAGCGTATTTGTAGAAGCTCTCTAGTTTAGTGTTTCTAAATTTTTACTTTTTAACTTGTGTATAAGCTAATTTTAACTTATGCAGAAACTCATGTCTACTTTTCTTCTTATTTTTGTCTCCCAGAAGTCCTTATGGGAGAGTTTGTCCAAACAGACCCTAAGCACTTGTCAACAAAATTTCTAAGGCTGTTATTCATCAATATACAAAGAATAAGTGAAAAACGACAGTAACAATTTAGGAGCCACTTGCTCAAACTGGAAATACCTCAAATACATGATCCAGTGGACAAAGAAAAGGTTGTCTAGTCATAGACCCCTCCAAAACACCAGGATGAGGAAACCATAGCCTATCAACCCTGCACCATAATGGAGGCACGACCTAAACATATACACATAAAGAACCTAGTTAAGATCAATTTATACAATTCCTGAAGTGAAAATACACTAAAAAAAATAGAAATCACTAATCATATTCACTGAAAATCACCATACCAGCTGTATCAAACGTAGGCATAAAAGCTGACCAGATATATCAACCATGACAACATGCTATGCCATAAAAAAGATTTGTTACATTTTTATTTTGGGTGGTAGGCTGCTTAACAGCTTTAATCATGAGAAAGTCAACTTCCATGCACCCTTTGCTTCCACCAATAACCTTTAGGCATTTATTAATGGAATCTTATTTATAAAAAGGGTGTTAAGAGGGGTTGGCGAACGCTGATGGAAATATACTAGTTCTTTCAATTGAATTGATTAATAAGAAACCAATTACATTACATCAATAAGAAAGATGAGAAAAAAGCATGAAGGAATCATGAAGTACAAGATATTACTACTTAAATAATTTTAGAGAAGATGCTCAAATTGGTTCTCTAAAGTTACAAGCATCATCACTAAATTAGTGCTTCATAACCAAATTAGAGTCTCAAATTAATGTCACCAAATCTGGAGGACTAAAGTGGTGATAAAAAAAAATATCTTAAAGGGACCAATTTTTTGACAAATTAAATCTTTTAGTGACAAAAATCTTTGGTGGTGACCGAAGAAATCTTCCAGGGTTTAATTTGGTAATCAAAATTTTTGGAAGACTTAGGTGGTGATGAATAATATAATTTATAGGATTAGATTGAGGTTTTTCTCTTGTTTCTCAAGGGCTACTCTACCATCAGTGGTGCCAAGAATACAGAAGATGCAATAAAAACAACTTAATTTTGTGACCCTAAATCATGTATTGACATTGGTCAATACATGTCAACATCCATATAATGCCAACGGTTGTAGCTCACAATATTTCGTTGATAAGGCTTCAATATCAAAAGGAATAATGACAAACAAAACTTATTGCAGGATTTCATGAACAAATAGGAAACTTTATCTATGCAAAAATAGGTGCCAAATGCCAATAACAATAATTACTGCATATTATTTGATCTCATGATTTCAAAAGTGACAACTGAAATTCTGTTGAGGAAGCACACAATTCTTTTTCTGCCACAAAATAAATGACATGCATTGATTTCGTTTGTGTTAAGAAGATGATGAAATAGCCGAACACAATTGTAGATTTAAATAAAGTAACAAGCAAGTTCAGAATTCTAATATTATTAAATTGTGATCTGCCTGCATGACAGAAGTGCCAAACAAACTTAATGAGTAATATTGTGCCAAAAAATAAAGTTCATTGCAACTTTCATGTAATTGTTATTGGTTAATAACTAACAGTACTCATAAGAGAAGTTGATTAACAGTGCTTAAGAGTGCTGATATGAGACATTTGCAATTCAAAATGTAATATAATAAGCATTTTATGATTCCAGAAAATAGTTCTCACCAGTGTTCTGTTCAAAAGGGAAGCAATAGCAAGTGCTGTTCTGATCTGTTTTATCTGGATAAATTCGTGTACACTTAAATTAGGAAATGCTACATCATAATTTCCATTAAAACGCAGAAGTGAAAAGGATTAGGTCGATACATGCATACTTGGTAATTAACAAGCGTAAAATGTGATTCAATGGTATGTTTCCCACTTAGCAACAAGCTTTTTGGAATAGATGGCTTAAATGACAAGAAACCCCCTGCAAAAGTTCCTCATGGGGAGTCAATATATCAACCACAGGCAGATAACGAAAATAATCCTTTGAAACATTAAGTACCAATTTTTGGTTTTCAGCAAGAATATGCTAACTAGAATTGAGGGAGAAATAACTAATTACCAGAAGGATTATAGTATTCTGGTGGATCACGGAAAAGCATGGCTTCTCGCAGTCGGTGGCGCTTTCCTTCAGTTCCTGCGTATTGAAATGTTGTGTGCACTGCATATGGCTCCAATCTGAGTTGCTGATACATAGCCTACAATCATGAACGCAATTACATTCTTAGAAAAAATTGACACATAGTTTGTTTCTCTACACCACATATAATTGTGTAAAAGAAAACAGAAAGCAAATAGCATATATAACCAGAAAAGAAGGAATTTGAAGAAACTAGATGCTACCTGGACAAAATATGTATGTCCACTACAAAAGATGCTTGAAGGCAAAATTCCTAGCTTTAGATTTCCATCATAAGCATAAACAAGTCCACTGTCCTCATCAACTGACGGTCCTAACTGCCTGTGTACAATGTCATTGAAACCATTCTGATCCCATATCTTATCATCAGCTAGAAGCAGTTCTTTCCATTCCTTTGCTAATTTTTTTGCAGTCTCAGTAGGTCTCCAATGGAAAATTCCAATGTTGTAGGCAGCACCAACTATACAAGGTGATAACCACAATCATCAATATAGTATGTTCCATTAAAGCTAAGAAAGTGTGATAGTAAATGTAAATAGAATGAGAGACCAAGAGGTTAAATAAGTGTAAAAAAGCATTGAGATTCAAAGCAAAAATCAGGAAGAAAACAATTTCAATGTGTGGTATTTTAATTTGATAGGACAAAGAATGTGCAATAACTTCAATAAAAGATTATATTCTGTTCCTAAATATAGACAAGACACGTGATATAATAAAAACTACAGACTCTTTTGTACAAAGTTTGCATATTGGACAGTATTTTGTTAGCTAGTAATCTAAAGCCATAGCAAACAAGTGACAGGAAACTGAAAAATAATGACAGAAAATGGAGTTTGAATAAAAGGTTCTCTATCATTCATATAACGAACATTTTCGAACCGTATATCATGGCAGTAAGTTCTGTTCATTATACTATATAATAATATTCACCTTCTTGCCAAATTTCCAGACTATCATCAACCACTGTTGGAACAACTTGATCACTGGATGTTAAAACATCTGCTCCAGGATAACGAGCAAGATATGGAAGTGGGTTCTGCTCCACGATCACATTATTGCATATAAGTTTTAAGAATAAAATAAATCTCAGAATAACAATTACATAACGTGGTTGGTGATTTCCTTAAAAGATATGCATATTGAATATAACAGATGTAAAGTCGCACAGTAATTGCACAAAGAAGTATGAACAATATAAGAAAGGACACCGGAGAGGAACAGACAATTAACAAGCTGAAAAATAAATTACATAAATACATGATAAAATAAATAGATATAAAAAGGAATGGCTCTAATTACTATGCATTTTGCAGCTCCTTGCAAATGAATCACTCTTAAAAGTGAAAACTAAACATGTGTTGAGAAATGGAGAAAAGCACCTTCAACCAAACCATGTCAGTGTCACACATCAACAGCTCGTAACCGAGAGGCAGTATCAAGTTTATCAGAATAACTTTTTCTCTCCCCATTTTATGAAATGTTGGAGACCCCCAGCCAACATCTGCTGTACTCATATGGCTGCCCATGTCAAAAACTGGTATCCCTTTCCAATAAAGCCCCTCCAACAACTTGGTGTCCATTGCACCTGAAAGGTAAATTGCAAACCCATTTTTACAAACACTAGTCAACTGTAGACAATACCGGATATGGATCTCTATCAAGGGCAATAACAAGACATATGATAGAGAAAGATAGAAGCCTTAAATCTAAACACTCACCAACAAGAAAATTATAAACCTCCAGATCATTCAACTGTTGAACCCAGGTCAGAATAAAGTCCATGAAGGCATAGTTACCAAAGGTCACTATTATAATGTTATCTTTCACCCTTTTCTGAATCAATTCTTTGGTCAATCTGAAAGCCTTCAAAGGTGGCATCTCTTTACTGCGTGGAGGAACATCCAATATAGGTCTTGTCCTCACATTCCGTGCCTCCGGAGGAACAGAAGGCACGGTATGAACGGTTGCTAACCGAGAATCGTTGAGCGTTTGTTCTGTAAGACGAACATCCTCGTCTGGAAAAATGTACATTTCAAGGTTTGAATTTGAAATCACACCCACATAAATAAATAAAAGGTTCAAAAAGAAAAACATAAAAGAAGCTCAATGTGTTGAAAAGTGTCACAAACAAAAGGCGGCGGTTAACTAATAACAGGGCAATAAAGGACACAACAGTGAAACCAATGTCAAATGCTCAAACATTATCTATCTCCAACTAAGGAAAGTTAACAACACATTTAAAATTGACAAAAGGGTATGTCACATTCACAGGGGGTAACAGAAAAGGTGTGAATTTTACGAAAGTAATAGAAGAATGAATGAGAGTGTAAAAAGGGTACAGAGTTAAGTGAAGGGTACTTGAAAGGGACCAAGCAGAGGGGTTGGTGGAGGGGTAGCGAATGGCGGAGAAGACGTAAAGTGAGGAAAAAACGATGCCAATGACGATAACAGTGTAGATCGTGAGGAACAGAGGCCTCGAATGAAGCACTTCCTCACACGCCATGGAAGGAAGAATAAATCACAGAGAAAAAGTGAGAGGGTCCTTTCTTTGTATCAGATTTGCATATTCCAATTTGAGTCTCTTATTATGGCAATGGAAGGTCAACCCTTAATTCAACCCTCCCTACAGAGTTAAACATGATCGTGAAAATGAAACTCTGTCAGAACAACGAATCTCAACTACTCTGCTTCTGTTCTTTTTGGATTCGCTACCTCAGCACACTCACTCAGCCTAATTCTCATAATCTGCAATTGTAAAATAAATTACATTCTGGAAAAAAAAAAAAATTAGCTATAGTTTTTAAGAATTATTGCAAAATAAATACATAATACATGTTTCTTTTAACCATGTATCAATATTTTATACTGTTGCTTTCATTATGGCCTTTTTTTTTTATTTTCTGAAAAAAATAAAGGATGAAAGAATTTTGTATTTTTCCTTGGGACCTCTTATACTTGCTTTTTTAATAGTCTATGATTATTTTGTTTTCTCTATTTTCAGTCTTTTATTTATATATACCAAAACTATATATAAAAAATGTAAGTTTATTATAATAATCATTTTTACAATATTAATATATTTTAATTAAATTTTCATCATTTTATATGAGAATTTAGTTAGCTGTTAGTCTAAAATATATTATTAATGTTATTATTATTAATTTCGGTCACATAAAGTTTAGAGAAATTTATTGTTTTTAATACATTTCTTTTTTATTCACCATATAACATAAGAAATATTACCTCAATTTCACTTACACCAATGACATTTAAGAGATAATAATTTAATTTAAATACATTATTAATGTATTTTTTACATTACTACTTAATCATAAGATTAATAAATTTACAATGATTATTTTAAAATAGTATTATAAGTAATTTTAAGTTAATTAATAGTGTAATATTTTTCATGATATGAATATATAAAAAGTTAACCTCTATTATAAGAAATTGAAAATAACAAATTTTATAGAAAAAAATATTTATCGTATTAAGTATAGGTTGCTTTTAAATAACTCAAAAGGATATTATTAAAACATAGATTAACTAACGTGAACTGATTTAAACTTGATTAATTATCTCGAATAAACTTTAATTGCATTAAAAATCATAAATGTGTTCTTATTTTAGTTCTAGATAAAGTAGATTGTTTTTCTGAATTCTAGCTGTAGTAGATTAAAGTAAAAATAAGTAAATTTAAGAACATGTATTAAATATTTTTTTACATATATTCCAAAATCAGTATAATAAAATAATTAAAAATATTCAATAGTTTCAATAAAGATGCAATAAGTACTTTATATATTTTTTATTATAAAAGTCATTCATAAGATTTGTTTTTACTTATAAAGGGAACAATAAAATATAAAATCGAATAAAAGAAATGTTAGTCATTTGCCATATTTTTTTTTAGAATATATAGTTTTAAAATTTGCATTTTTATTATAATTTAAAATAGTTCTTTTATTATTTTTAACATATTTTCTCTTCTAAAAAAATTGTTTTCTAATGGTTTCACACATTGTTGTAGTTAGTTATACGGGTATTTCATTAATGTTATATGTAAGAATTAAAACAAAAAATTTCTATAAAAGAATTTTATTCGATACAATAATAATTTTGATTGTTAAGAAAAATCATATACAAGTCAACGTATCTCTTCTTTTGTTATCGAATTTTTTGTAGTCAACTTTTAAATGCTCAATTAAAATAATAATTTATTTTAATTGTTTAATAATAATAATAATAATAATAATAATAAATTTTAATTTTAAATTAAATTTCAATATAGAAAGATTATCAAGAGTTGTCATCAATAAAAAAAATAACATAAAAACTTGGTCAACATTAACTATTTAATCAATTAGTTCGTATTTATATTAGTGATAAAAGGACTTGTATTTACATTTCTGAGTGAAAAAAATAATTATTTTAAGTAAATTTAACGTAAACATGGATCATGAATTCATATTTAACTTGATTAGACATCAAACTATCTATTAAATTTATCACTAGCATTATATAACTTCATTAACATTAATTGACACAAATTTACTCCCATTAAGCAAGGGAATATCATTTAATGCTTAATTTTGATATTGGCCAAGGTTAGTTTTGATATTTTAAATTCTTATTACTAATAATTTAAATAATTGCTGTTGACTTTTCAATGTCAATAATTATATACGTTTACTATTATTCAAATTCTTACTAATGGGTTATTTATCGGGAAAATGGACGGGCCTGCTATTGCAATCCCTAATTACTTAAACCCCCAAATCAAAGTAAAATGAAAAAAATAAAATAAATCGTTTTGACATTTAGTTAAGAAATACCTCCAACTGCTATATATTTCCGTTTATTAAGTATAAGACGATGGAAATGATTTTGTTTTTTCCAAAATTTCTAACACAATGGAAAAGTTATGTTAATTTTTTTGAAAATTTTAACACAATAAAAACTTGTTTTCGTTGCATTAGTTTTTTTTGAAAATATTTTTAAAGAATTAAAACAATGAAAAAAAAATCCTCACTTTGTGTTATTTTAAAAACAGAGAATAAAAGCATAAAATTATTTTTGTTATTTCATTTTTTAATAAATTATCACATCCAGAAAAAAAATTGTTCTACCGAATTAAATTTTCACAATACTGTTTTTTTAATTAATAAAACTAAAATTTATTATTATTATTATTGTTGTTGTTGTTGAATCCTTCTTATCAATATAGTGAAAGCTAGTTATTGTCATGTTATTTTTTAATTTTTTAATTTAACACTGCAGAAACCTATTTAAAAGTTAACACAATGAAAAATTTCTTTTTAACGTTTAAAATATTTTTGAATAAAAGTTAGCGTGACAAAAAATTGTATTGGAGGTTTTAACAGCAATGAGGGGGCTGCAAATAGAATTAGACAAGATGCTAAACACAGAAGCCCAATATCTTCTGGGCTCAGGACCGTTAAAAATCAATATATTATATAAGAATATGGCTTTTGAATTTTTCTTTCATTACAATTGCCTTATTATCTCTTTCCTTGATAGTCCTACACCTTAGTGGTCCATCCATCATGCGTAAAGTCTTAGTCTGTATAGTGTGTGTGTGTCTCTCTCTTTTTTTTTTCCTTTTCTTTTAAACTAGGTATGAATTCAATGAATATTTGTAAAAAAATAAAAATCAGATATAAATAGTTATGCGAAAAATAAAAATGAGAGTTAGAGACACAAATATCTTACCATCAACTTGCCTTATACTATCACATACTATTTAATATATTAAATTTGAAATTTTATATTCCAACTAGTGTAGATATTTGTCATTTTTATGTATAACACAACACACACACACACACACATATATATATATAAAACTGATATTACTGTGTATATCATTTGTGTTTTCTTACTTTGCAATATTATTTAATATATTTTATTTTATTGTTACATTTTTCACTAAGCATACAATATCTAACCAGTGTGTGAACTTATTTATATATAATTTTATAAACGTGTCATTTTATAAATTTGTTAAGGTATTTAAAATCAATTTTAATTAAACTATTATTTTAGATTAAATTTAGTCAAATATTAGTTTGTTATATTTTATAATCAGGATAATTGTATTTAACTAAAATTTAGATTAATAATACGAAGATCTAACAACAATAAATTATTATTACTATTTAATACTCACTATGTGCTGAAGTCCTTGACTGTTTTAATTATTGTTTTCGATTTTAAATAAGATTCATGATTAAAAAAATCATAGTCAATGGACATATATACATTTTTTAAAATATAAATATAAAAGAATATTAAACAATCTCACTCAAATATTAACATACTCTGCAAATTGAGGTGAGTGTATGAGAAAAAAAAAAAAAATATATGGCAGGTCACGGTCACAGATCGGAAGCTCATGATGGTTATGATTTTATCCCACACTCACATTAGTGTTACTGAATTGGTGGCATAGACGTGGCTTGAAAGCAATACTAGGGAGAATCTATGCACACTCACATTTTTGGTTTATTAATAATGTTCTTTGTTTCTTGCGCAAGTGGTTTTATTCTTATACCCTGGTCTAGTCAGCAACTAATCCTGTATCTTATTCTCATTAAGTGGTTGACTATTCTTAACATACACTAAATTCAATACTATTATTATATATTATATGCAAAATTTTCAAACTTCCAATTGTGCATGCACGATTAATTATTCAGAACATAAAAAAAAATGATTAAGACCCTTAATTAGTTGTTGTACAAATAACAACTATACTACTTGTTTTTGTTAGCATAATTCTGTCATAGCATTAAATGCAGCTGGGTTTTGTGTGCTTTGACTAAATGCCATTTTTGAATTGAATAAAAAATTGACATACCCTGTAACAAGGATGCTTCCTCTTCCACTGTTTCTTTCCATATATTGTTTATATATATATATATATATATATATATATATATATATATATATATATATATACTTGTGTACAAATTGTGTACTTGAATGTGTACGCCACACTAAAACAAAAGTGTAACTCTGATAATTAGATTTCAAATTTTTTCTCAGAAATTGCGCGAATTCAACACCTTGTTAAATCGATTCTTGTAACTTAAAAACATGTGTCTCTGTAGTTGCAGGAAACTTGCAAACTGTCAAATTCACTTAGAATGTGTTTAAATTCAACAAAGATTATTGAATAATCAAACTGATATATATATATATAGACCATGCTCATTAGTCCATATGTTAACATATTTTGCAAAAACAATAATCAGAGAACAATTCTTGCACATGGAAATTGGTTTCATTAATAGTTCAAAATGCAATAAAACACGAGAGAATTCTGTGCTATAAAAAATTATGTAGCTGTTATCCAATGTTTATTGTCAAAACTCAAAAGGGTGGTAGTTTAAAATCTAATTGACGTTTTTAAAATTTTAAAATAATAGAAGGTGTTTGTTTTGTTTTTTTATATAGTACTACTATTGATTGTTGCAT